GAAGTAATTTTATCTGGTACAGGCCATGGTACTATTAATCTTACTACTAAATTATATTCATATATTTTGGGCACTCTGTTAAAATGAACTAAGTCCTTTCTGTTTCCACTGTAGTAGAGAGAAAAATAATTCAAGAATATTTTCAGTCATTCTCTCTCTAGAGATAACCTGCTTTCAAGTTTATTGAAGGTGTATTCTTTTTCCCAATAAACTTACTATCATTTTCAAAAATAAAAAGAACCATAGATGTGTTAGCCCATTTTCTCTAACTGCATCATTTTTCAACATTATTATCAAAGTTTTATCAGAGAATTTGAGATTTGGCCTGTACTTTTGGTGCATGTTAGTTATATGGATTTTAAGGATTGCTTTAATAGCTAGATATAAGTCATTCTCCACTGAGAAGATACTTTTTAAAATTATAGGAAATTTCTTGTATTTGATGACTGGTCCAGTGTATTTCAGTACTTCCATGAGTTACTCAGAACACGTTAGTTATAAAAGAAAGTGGCAGGGAGTGATCCAGTATGATTTTTGTGATAAAAGAACTTTTAAAAATACCACAATATACCCCACCCAGCAAAACAATAGAAAATGTGGAAAAAAAGAACACTGTAGTTTTATTATATTACTAATATAATTTAAGACAAAATTAAAAAATCTTATTTTACCTTAAAATATGACAGGTATTTCCTTTTATGTATAATTCTCAAATAAATTTTACTATGATTTTTAAAGGGCTGTAGATTTGTGGCTCACATTTTTATTTATATTCCAAAATATACAAAATTAAAGAGAATAGTCTGCCAAATTTTCATATTCTCATTGCCTAGCTCTTGATAATTACCAATTTATGACCAACTTTTTTTCATAAATGGCACTGGATATACTCCTGCCCCCATATTACTTTGAAATGAACCCTAGACATCATATCATTTCAACTGTTAAATTTTACTACTGTATCACTAGAAGAAAGGGAATTTTTTAAGCAACAAATCTGTGACATAATTATCATATCTAAAAATTAATGGTCATTTCCTACTCAAAACTTATTGCCATATTCCAGTTATTCAGATTCCTTATTTCACAAAATGCTCATTAGGTTTTTTTTCAAGTCAGTATGCAAATATATAATTGGCTGAAATTTCTCTTAAGTCTCCTTTAATCTCTAAGTTCACCTTCCTCCCTTTTTGTAGATGGGGTGCAAGACACAGGGAAGTTATTTGATTTTCCAACATCACACACTCAGTGTTTGGATCACTAACTCTCTACCAAGGGAAAAAGAAAAGCCATGGAGGTGGTGATTTATTTAAATTCTTCTTATGCTAATTCTGATTTTTTTAGAGGTTGTGATAAAGTTTTGAAGGATTTACTACACAAGAACACAAAGTAATGATGAACCAAAAGCTCCTGTCTCATCTCAGGGATTTTTTTTTTTTTTTTAGTGTGAGGTAAACCATTATACTATAGAAACCAGTTCAGTTTTTGTTTTGTTTTGCTTTAGTGAATCGGTGTCTGACTTGGGTCACTAAACCTTATCTTCTTCATTGGTAGAATGGGAGGGTTAAGCTGGGTTTTGTAGGCCTGGATATTTTATGTCTCTCATTAGGAATAAGGGAAATGTCAAGGAAGAGTGAAAAGATTTTAAAAAATTACGTATGGCTCCTCTCAAAGGGATTTTTCTCATGATGATAAATATGATAACAACAGGACTTCATAGGTAGGTGAAGTCATTCTGCAGAAACAAAGACTCTGAAAGTGTATCTTTAAATCTACTAAAAGATACTGAGGCAGCATGGGGAAAAGGTACCTGGGGAGGCCAGTGATGGGAACCATACTATTGGCAGTAACGTTTTAACTACTTAGCAATGGGTAGTTACTTGTTAAACAACACTGATATAGCCTTTTTGATGCACTGTAAATGGGAAGGAAATGCTATAAATTCAGACAAGAATCAAAAGGAGAAATTTCAAGGATATGTAAAAATGAGAATTCTGCTCTGGGACCATTTTTCCTCCAAGTCTAAGAAGCAGCAGCTGTTGGTGGCCATCCTTATAAGGAACCTTCAGACTAAGCAATGACACCTGCCAAGGGACACACAAAACACTCGTAGGTCTTGGTAAACATGAACTAATTAATTTTCACAACACCCTTGTGAATGAGGAAGTAGCTTTTCCGAATTTTACAGATGGGGAAGTGTCAGCACATAAACATAAGTGATTTGGCCCCTTCATAGGCTGTGATCAGGGCCATGAATAAGAAGTCTTATTGAAAGGCTTAAAGGTTGAATTAAACTTCCAGATTCTCATTAACTTATATTCCAGTTCTTCCCCTTAGTGAAAGTATTTCCTCTTCCTATAAATAATGACAGATAATACATGTACCCCTATGTTACAGGCACATGGTGATTACTAAGTGTAGTTACTCCTAAGAATATAACATTTGCGAAGAGGCCTTGACAATCATTGAATTTAGCCCCCTCATTTTGTATATTCAGTTACTCAACATGGACATTAAACTCACAAGTGCCAGAGTACAAATTAGAGTCCTCACTTATTTTTATTCCCGTTGGCCAACTCTAGTTTTAGTACATTCTTCACGTACATGTTCTCCCACTGTTTCCTTTTCTGTGGAACTCCAGAGTTGCCCAGACTGAAAGTGTCAGGGCTCAGAAAGGCTGTCCCTTCCAACAGTGCGTCTGGCTCTTAAATCTATCTATGTTCAGTGGCTGCCCAGAGTGTGATTGAACACAAGCAATGATCAGGAAGTCACTACTTGCTACGCAGCCCGTGCCACCTCACAACTGCTGGGAAGCTCTCCTCCCCTTCAATAACATCATGTCACTCCCCTCTTACAGTTGACCCCAATCTCTGCCATCTACCCTATGAGATGTCTTTGAATTTGACTTTTTCTAGCACCTTTATTGCTATCAACTTAATATTCCTCCACTAGATGTTTATGAAGTCCTATCTATAAATGTCCCAATGATAAATAAGGAGAATAATCTAACAGAAGAAACTATTAATGGGCATTTTACAAGGTAATAAGGGCTTTGGTGAAACATGTATATGATATTAAGGGAGCAGGGAAGGTTTATTTGCTATCTGTAGACACTGAGGATATAGAACACTATTCCCTGAAGAAATACAGAAATATTTTCTGCCCTTCAGAACCTTACTAGTGTAAAAGAAAGACAGAATGCATATATGTTGACTAGATATCAGAATCTAAGAAATTATGTGCTATGACAATGTGGTGTTCCACTATGTCACTTACAAGATGTTGCTTCATGCAAACAGACATAGCTGTTAATAACTGCAATCATTAAAAATAGCAGAGCCACTGGCATTGGACAACTCCAGTGAAGAGTGGGAATCCTCAAAACATTGCTTATCATGAGGAGTGTAACCCCTGTATACCAGTTCCCTTATAGAGTACTAATCAGTGCTAGGTACTGTACATTGGGTATACAATGTCAAGCAAAACAAATAACCCTACCTGCTCCTTTATAACTTAGCATTCCAAGGAAGAGCCAGGTATCTATCAAATATGTATGCAAGTAAATGCATGACTAAAATTATGCTAAACACCATGAAAAGAAAAGAACAGTTTGTTATGAGAGACAATAATCTGGAACAAATACCATTTTAAAAGAGGTCAGGAAGAAAATTTCTTTATAAGAAACTGACATTTCCTCTGAGACCTGAAGAACATATAGGAAAAAAAGAGAGCGGGAAGGGTGGGAGTGGGGAGCGTGATGACAAATGTGCATGCAGAAAAGTGGGAAAGAGCTTGGTGTGCTTTGGGAACTGAGATAAGTAATGCTTGGAGATGACAGGAATGAGGAAGGAGAAGAAAAGGACCAACTCAGATCAAATCTTTTGGGTCAAGGAAAGTGTTTGGGGGTTAAGTTAAATGCAACGGGAAGTGATACAAGGAGGTTAGGCAGAAAGGACTGGGGATGGAGCATATGGATGCTAGGGAGCAAGGAGAATTGTGGATAAATCAGTTTGTGCATAGGAGATACATATTGGACTGAACTATGGAAATTTTAGTTCTAGGCTAGTTTTTTTCTATTTTCTAAACTTTGGTTAGAAAACAAAAGATCCTTGCTGTTTGGTCTTTTGTCCTGCCTAAAATACATATTCCTCAACCAAAATGTTAACAGTCTTTTAATATAAAACATACATGGACTCAACTTTGGTTGAGTCTCAGGTATTGTTTGGATTTTACTGCCATCTAGTGCCTCTAAAAACACATGTTTATTTGTGTTGTTGAACAAGATACTCCCCAAACTGTGTGAATGAGCAAGTGTATTTCTGCTTCTGGAATGGGGAAGTCTATGTTAGTTTTACTAATTTCACTTTTAAATCAACATAAAATAAGCCAGGTATTATATTATTAGCCTCTTTCTTCTCTCTGTAGAATTATCGAGAGTTTCATCCATCCTCTTTTTACACTCATATTGTCGCTACGGCCCCTATTGGGAGAATTTCTCAGGAATGCTGCCCACAGTGGACCATTGTGTCCATTGCACAAAAGGATCTAGCTTTGGGGAGCAAGGTGTCCTAAAATCCAACGTACATTCTGTTCCAACGTTGAATGCAGAGGGTTGCAGCTGCTCAAGGACAGACATTCTTTCAAGTATAATAATACAAGTTAGCAGCAGCCCTGGCAGCACTGCACCATAGCTCCCCCACAAAATTCATGGCTCCATTGGCCCCTTCAAGCCCTGATTTAGGATTAGTTTTTGTCTCTGATTTAGTCTACTTTTACAGGGCTCAGAAAGATCCAAGAAGCAAAATACACAATAAATCTATCACTGTTCTATTGGTACAGGTTTATTAATCAAAGTTTTGCATAGGATATTCCAATAATGAAGGTTCTTAACAGGAGTGGAAGTGTACATGCTTTTCTATTACTCTGTCCCATGCACTTGTTCAAACAAATTGGAACACATTCTCTTTTGCACTTCATTGTAATTCTCTTCTTCTTCCAAGGTCCCAGGCCACTCGTTTCCGTTGGCATCAACCAGCTCCTTTTGACAAGCAGCAGACATGGGCAATAGATAACGTCTATATTGGGGATGGCTGCATAGACATGTGCAGTGGCCATGGGAGGTGTATCCAGGGCAGCTGTGTGTAAGTATATTGTTTCTTCCTTCTGTGAAAAAGTTCTGATTCACATTCCATCTAGGAGATTTTTCTAAAACTGGTTTTTTAATTACTCCCAAGGTTTTTCACTTTTCCTGAAATATGACATTGAGCTAACTGTGGAATTGATGGGTTCCTAATAGAGATTAGGAACTGAACAACAGCTAACTTGTCAGAAAAAAAGCCGAATTGTAATTGACTATCTTTTATTCCCTTCTGTATTTCTGTGATACACTGAAGCCTTGAACAAGACATTAGAAGAGAAAAAACATTAGAAGAGGTACAGGAATTCAGTATGCTCTGACGAAAGCATAATACCTCATACATATTTTTCTCACTTAGGTGTGAATATATGTAATGATATGCATTTTATTAGTATTCCCATGTTGTTTGCATAATAAAATATGGAAATGGTGAATTTACCAGACATGTTTGACAGAGAGGCCTACTGTATTTTTCTTAGAGAGCCTTAGTATCCTTGGAAAAAGTCTAAATAAAGTATGTGTATGATTGTGAGCTATACACACACATGCACTATAGGATTTCTTGCCTTATTTTCAAAGATGATCCTGTCTGAGGGGTTAATATGAATGAAGATTGTGATAGAGAATTCATGAGTCCTTCTCTGATAATCTCTACCCACATGGAAAATCTTTTATTTAATTAATGATTATAGCCCAGAGTGATCTCAGAGACTTCTGAGCCTCCCGGTCCTGTTCACATTCCCTTCCATCCTGAACAGGGTGGTCAGTCCCTTGGCCAGAAATGGTTACTATCCAAAGCATCTTCTATATGGAACATGGCCTATTGGTTCCTTACTGGTCCAGAGTCTCTGTTAAAATGATCAATTTTGTAAACTCTTAGGATTCATCAGTTTAGTTTGGCAGGTATACTGTCAGTCATCCAGCACTGTGTCATGTATATACAGAACTTTAGTAACTTCTTTGAACTTGCTTCTTTCTCGCCATCCAAAGGCACTAGTTTAGGAAAATAGTAGAGGCAGTTAATTCACAGTGCATTTCTAACTGAAAGCACTGTGAAGAAGAGCAGATGAATTCTGGCCAGCTCTGTAAAAATCTGTAACTTTTCATTATCCTGGACTAGGAAAGAGTTGGCCTCTCTAATATGAGAACACAATTGCAGGGGCTTTGTTTGGTGTTGACTCTTCTTTTCTCTTTCTCCACACCCAGCTGTGATGAGTTATGGGTGGCCTGTACTGTGATGAGCCTGAGACTTCCCTTCCAACCCAACTCAAAGACAACTTCAATCGAGCACCCTCTAATCAGAACTGGCTGACTGTGAATGGCGGGAAACTGAGTACTGTGTGTGGAGCTGTGGCTTCAGGGCTGGCTCTCCATTTCAGTGGGGTGAGAGCATGGCTATGTTTCTGCATCTTCTAGATTCTCCCCAATTCATTGAGTCTCTCTCAAGTGCAATAAGCAAATCAAGATGCAAAGTCATTTAACCTAAATGCTCAACCTTGATCTGAACTCACAATTTTATACAAATCAGAATGTACTGAATATTTCCAGTATTTTCCTACTACAAATCATTTGAGACAATTTAATTATGCAGGGTAGTGACAGAAGAGAGCATATTTAAATACACATTTCAAAAGGACTTATATGGATGTCCATCCTGCAGGAGAGAGAACACTTTCCCAGTGTGCAAGAACTTCCATCTAGATGAAGCTATATTGAAAAACTCTTGAGCTTGTGACAGATTTGGTATTTAAGGAACCAAAAATCTGAAAAACAAGCCTCAATGGTTTCTGAATTTATTAACAACCATTAATCCTTTCTACAAATTATCCAAGAAAAAATCATCAATAATTACTAAACACTTGCATTTATATCATATTGTTTTGTGAATGACAGCAGCAATGTTGGAAAGTTTCTTTAGAAAATTTTATAAGTATTATATTTTGCTGCCAAAGTTGACTTTGTTTTAAAATACAATTTCTCCAGTGCAATGATTAGATAGGCAAATTAATCTTTTAAAAAATAACAAGTTTGTGGTCAACTCTTTTATTTTTCTACTATGTCTTACCTTAGAATTTGCATTGGTGCCAATGAAGTATGTTATTATAGTCAGTATTTTAGCCCAAGAGTAACAAGACAGCATATAAGCATAAAGGACTTCCATGACCATCAACACTGACTAAGAATGCAGTGTTTAAGATATTTCTCCTAGGGCTGGTAGAGTGGCTCAAATGGCGGAGCATCTGCCTAACAAACATGAAGCCCTGAGTTCAAACCCCAGTACCACCAAAAAACAAAAAAAAAAAAGAAAGAAAAATAAAAGGTATCTCTCCTAGCATAGTTAGAACTTTAAGTAGCCTATATTTCCACATGTGTTCAACTAAGAGAAACCTACTTATTAATATTAATAAATTAATATGGATGGCACTATAATCTGCTACAAAGCCCTTACCTTGCTTATAAATATATATATATATATAAATAAAATCTCCTTAGGAAATATGGCCTTCTGTTGTCTTGAATACTGAAATTTTAAAGTTTGGCACACATGTTCTGAGCATCTGCACTGTACTGGGCACCATGCTACGAGCTAGCACATCATGAGAGATGACAAGTAAGTCAACCCTGGATGCCATGTGGCTTGGATCATAAAAGAAATGTGGAAGAAATCAAACCAGAGAAAATCTGTAATGTGCAACTAAGACTCCTTATCACTGCTTTTGTATTTTCCATTCTGCATCTTTTCCATAGGGTTGTAGTCGATTGTTAGTCACTGTGGATCTAAACCTTACTAATGCTGAGTTTATCCAGTTCTACTTCATGTACGGATGTCTGATCACACCAAACAACCGTAATCAAGGTGTTCTCTTAGAATATTCCATCAATGGAGGCATCACCTGGAGCTTGCTAAATGGAAATCTTCTATGACCAGTACAGTAAACCTGGGTTTGTATTCATTGTATCTCTCATAGCTGGTCTGCTGAGCAAAAATGCTTGACTTGATAAGACTACCCGCTATCAGTCTCAGGGAACTTTTAACTTATCTGTAGGGGATGCATAGGGGACTATGTGAAGAAAGGTTTCTGGGCTTGATAAATAGCTGTTTTGGGTTTTTATTTTAAGAACAATTAGTTTTCACATCCTGGAATAAGATGAAATAAGCTATCACAATCCAACAGTGATTAAATCCAGTGCAAAAACCCATAGAAATTAATGAATATATGATAATTGATTTCAACAACACTTTGGAAAATAGAAACAGAAAACAAATATAAATTATATAATGTCTACTCAGTTTAGAGAATTTTGTGCTAGAAAACAAAGAAACAAAATAATAAGGAAATACTCTTAAGAAGCCTGGAGTCTGTCTTAAATCTCCTTATTTAAAAACTTTGAACAAAAATCATGTATAAGTCATTTAAAAAATATTCTGGAAGGGTCAAAAGTAAGTCAAAGAGGGGTCAGTGTGATGGTACAAGCCCCTCGTCCCAGCTTCTCTGGAGTCCGAGGTGGGAGGATCACCTGAGGTCATGAGTTGAAGACCAGCCTTATCTCAAAAAAGACAAAAAGGTTATAAAAAGAGAAAGGACATATTCATTAAAGTAGGAAGAGAAAAATGAGGAAGAAAATAAGAGGGAGCGAGTGGGGATGAGAAGCAACAAACATAGCCCAGTGGAGAGGTATAAATAGTCCCTTTGTACATGTCAAACCAGGTGCAGGCTAAAAATTGACTAAAAAGAGAAGAATCTTATATGTCAGTTAAGAATAAATTCAGCTGTAAGAGACAGAAATTTCAAAATAGCTTAAAAGTTTTTCTCTCTTATGTAAACTAGATCTCCCTCCAAAGTAACCCAGGGTTGCTTTAGAGGCTCCTCCATTCTCATTCCTAGAATTTAGCCAGCTATGCACACTCAGATACAAGGAAGGTGGAATTTGTCTTTATTCTGGGCAATTAAGTAATAAAAAAGATAGGCTGTCATTTTAAAGGAAGAAGAGGAGAATGGTCATTGAGGAAATACCCCCAATCTGCTAGATGCAAAATTTCAAATCCTGAACTCACATTAAAGTTGGAAACCAATAAAGGAATCCAACTAGAAACTAAGAAGTACACAATATAAAAAAATGTACTCATCCATAAATGGGAGATAATATGCAAGACAAGCAAACTGTTTCCTTCTGGAGGAATTTATAAATTCTCTCAAATATGAACCCTACAGCCCTGTAACACAAGGAGAAGGGTATAAAAGAATAGCTGTCTAATCTACTCTAGTTCTCTGGAGAATCAAGCTGACTAAGGTGGGAGCAGTGGTCATAATTTATTGAGACTTTCAAGCAACCTTAAATAACTTTCCATCCCAAAGAGTTTTTAAATGTGGACAAAGATTTATCAGTGAAATAAAGCTAATTTGGAAATAGAAAAGAAAAATACACAGAAATCATAGCTTTGGGTGAAAAAGTATTTCCTCCAGAAGCAGATACATTTCTGATATTATAATAAGTTTTTAAATGTTAATTAAATATGCCAAATCAATGGAGGTAAGTGATAGGAAAATCTCACAAGGTATAAATACAAAAGAAAAAAAAGGAAGAGGGAAGATACACTTGAAAATTGAGAGGTATGAGGAAATGAAATTTGCAGATGACTCTGCCTGAAGGCTGATGGTTTCCAAGTTGCCAGTAACAATACAAGTGAGGATCTAGAATTTACAGAGTGTACTTCTCTTCCTTTATGACAATCCCTATTGTGCTGTCATGGTCCAAAGTGCACAAAATGATGTGTATAACCAAAAAAAGTATTTAAAATCTAAGTGTTAGAAGCACAATTAAAAGCATCCTAGCTTTGAATGAATCTTGGTTGATCCCCATCCAAAATACTGTCTAGTATTTTGGGCACTGTGACCTTAAGGAATACATGGAAGAGAAGAAGGAGGGAGCCTGGGGGCGTGGCTCAGTGGTAGAATACTTGCCTAGCATGTGAAAGGCACTGGGTTCAATCCCAGCACAGCAGAGAGAGATGGGGGAGAGGGAGGGTGAGATGGACAGACAGAGGGAGAAACTAAAATCAACAAGAAGATACCATGTAAACAAAACAAAGTAATGAAATCTCTTTAATGTGAAAGGCTAAGATTCAAATGATTGTCATGAATGCACTCATTTGAGAGTTCTTTACAGGATGAACTTGGGCTGGTTGGTTGGCCCTGTCCAGACACTGTAATACTAAGGGGCAGCCTGTTTCTCAGTATGTCTTCACTAAAGCATATAAACAAAGCAATGTCTATACCTCAGACAGCTGATAGTAACCCAGTACTCTCAGGCTGAGGTCCTAATATTTCTGCCACAATGCAATGTCTATATTCCAAGCCAGTTACTATCATTCAGGGAATTAGAGTACAGAAAAGAGAGAACAGATGACAGGGAGAAGAAGTCAATACTTGCTATGTCTTCCAAAGTGTGTATACTGTAGGCCTACAGATGCCTTTCTCCCAGGTATTCAGAGAATTCTGGCATGCCTGTAAGGCCAGCCCATGGACAATTCAAGTGAGTAGGTGGCTCTGGGATGCTTGCATTCTGTTTCCCCAATTTAATGATTACCAAGACTTTGTAAACTCAAGCTAGCTAATCACAGTTTTAAAAAATAATTTTGGCTAATGTCCTCCCCTCACCCAGCATGTGACATACAATATCTTATCACTGGTTGCAGATATTTTACTCACATGAAATATTTGACAAAGGATTTTTATACCCCCATCTTTTTCTTTTAGATTTGTCAATATTCTTCTCCCTCCTGATGCTAAAGAGGTTGCTACTCGCTTCCGCTGGTGGCAGCCAAGACATGATGGCCTAGACCAGAATGACTGGGCCATTGACAATGTCCTCATCTCAGGCTCTGCAGACCAGAGGACTGTCATGTTAGACACCTTCAGCAGTGCTCCAGTGCCCCAGCATGAGCGCTCTCCTGCAGATGCCGGCCCTGTTGGGAGAATTGCTTTTGACATGTTTATGGAGGACAAAACTGAAGGTAACTTATTCACTGATACTAAAGAAAAATACAGTGGAGAGCTGGGGGCTGTGGCTCAAATGATATAGTGCTTGCCTAGCAAGCACAAAGCTCTAAATTTAAACCCAGTACAACCAAAAAAAATTTTAAAAGTCAAGTGTTACAGCGCAGATCTGTAACTCCAGCTACACAGGAAGCATGGGCAAGAGGACTGCTGTCTAAGGCTACCTAAAAAATAACTAAAGGGTTGGGGCATGGATCAAGTGGTAAAGCATATGCCTAGCAAGCATGAGGCCCTCAGTTCAAACCCCAGTACTGCAATAGAAAAAAAAAAAACCTACAGTGGAATGTAGACATTTAGACGGGGGTCTCCTCAATAGAGTAAAATGTCAACTCTTTTCAGATGCTGAAAAGCGTAGAAACAGTGACCTGTCTGGTTGACATTGTAACTAAATCTTTTTTACCATTCCAAGCCAACCAGTGTATCTTAATAAATAGCCTTCTGTAATTTTACTAACAGAATAATTTTCTTAAAATATATTCATTCCTATATTTCTGTTTTCTAGTTTGGATAGAAAGACAACATTTCCTGCTCGTTTGTTTTAACATTCAGTTTGGTTTGCCACATGTCAGATACATTAACCATGGCATTTCACATTTCAGATCATGTCCCAGGTTTTGTTGTTGTGGGTCTTCTTTGTTCTCCTTCATTCTCAGTAGGAGTAGTTCAATGATGCCAGCAAACTACAAAGAGCCTCTACAGACTAGTCTAATTTTTTAATATATCATTTTATTTTCATTTTGTGATACTATGCTGGTACCTTTTTTAAAGGTGGTATTTTATATTAAGGATGTGTCTTTGCCATACCGTATGTTTTAGCTACATAAAGCATGCTGTCTTCAGATAAAGTAGCAGTGTTTAATTATGTCTCTTATACTAACATGCGAGGATATTCAAATAGTAAAGTGGATATTATACCACCAGAGTGTTCAGACAATAGGACTGTATATTACACCCACTAGCATTGTACAAGAAAAATACAACCTGAATAATTTTACAGTAGTAACACTGACTTTAAAAAAAATTCTAAGGAAATGGCATATATAGAGAAATTTTAATTTGAGGAATTTTAATGATTTAAAATAATAATTAGTAATGTTTTATTGTAAAAGTAATACATGTTCAAAGTGTAAGATTGAAAAAATATAGAAAAATATGAGGATGAAAATAAAAATCACTTAAGGATAACCATAATCAATATTTTAGTGTATTTTCTTAGTCTTTTTTTCTATGCTTTTATATAAACATTTTAACAAAATTTTGATCTTAAATTTGATATGTTTTATAATCTGTTTTTGCATTTAGAATTTAATCCTGATTTCCCCATGTTTTTAAGTATCTTCGAAAATAAAATTTTAATAACTGTGCAATATTTCATCATAATTCATTTTTATCACTTTAATATTGATAAATATTTAGGTTCATTCATTTTATTTCATTATTGGTATGTCATATGACCCCATGGTATAACTGCAAATCTTTACTAAAAATCCATCCTTGCAAGTTGAAAAAACTTAAAATGTCCCTCATCATTACCAAGTAGTCTTTATTCTCTTATGAAAGGTTATTGAGATTTACCTACATTGATCTGTTTCAGACCTTTGCTAAAAAATTCATCTATTTTTCCCTGTGTAATGGTTTTCAGAAGTGCGTTTACAATCAGAGAACAATTTAAACATTGTTTCTGTAGGAATAAAAAACAAACACAGACTAATTTTTCAAGTACTTAAAGTACTGATTTTTACCTTAGAACTAATTGGTGATATGCAGATGAAGAAACAAATTTTCTAGCTCCTGTCTGTCTTATACAAATAATGTTTTTAGAAACTGGAACATCTACTAACAAAAGTAGCTTCTGATGTGGCAGAAGAGATTGATCAGTTAGTTGATTAATCCTTTCATCAACATTGCAAAGTTCTAGCACAAAACGAAATACGTACCATAGAAAAACTGGCTCAGGGTGTTCTTATTAGAATTCTTATTTCTATGCACTTTGACTCTTGAATCCTGTATCTGTGATGTAGGATTAAACATGACTCCAAATCCCTCAGGGTGGAGAAGAGATAATGGTGTTGCAGTAGCCATTTGAATCCCAGAGATAAGCTGCCTGTTCTACAGGCATATGTTATGCTCAGACAAAATCAAACAGACACACCATGGTTGAAGCCTGAATTACAGCAAAATTGCTTGGTCTCTTCCCTTGATCCTTGGAGACCATCCAACTCTGCTGTTTGCACACTGGCCCCAAACTCTCCATTTGTACATGTTCATCTTCACTGCAAATGGGAGCTAGGCAGGAAGCTTTGAAAGTTGGACCTGTGAGATCAAAGAATATCATGATTCAATGCAATCTGAGGATGTGCGTCATTCCTAACCTTTCTGGAATACCAATCATGTTGTGACTGCACCTCTTTCAAAAGAGAAAGAGAATTGTGAGGGGGTGTTTGTGTGTGCGTGTGTGTGCGTGCGTGCGTGTGCATGTGCGTGTGTGTGTGTGAGAGAGGCTCAACATAGGAGGTACTCTGCACTAATAATTCAGTCTTGCTGCTTAGTTTTCTTTAGAGTCTTTCAAATCTATTTTATCAGTAAGTTTTGTTTTGTTTTTGGTAAGTACATTTCTTTAAAGAGTTACCATTGATCTAATTTAGAAAAGTCAAGATTTATTTTAAAAAATATATGCCAAGAATTCTTAAACATCCACATTTAAATATTCAAACATTAAGAACATTACTGATGACAGCATTATTTTAGAGATAATCTCAATTTCTTAAATAATCTCTTTATAATACTGTATCTTGATTTTTTTCAAATTAAGGAAAACTTCACAATTTAAGACTTAAAGGTAGTCTTTATAACAAATTGTACAATTATTTGAAAAATTATTTCTCAAATAATTTCTGGACCCCCTAAAATATCATTTGTTTATGTAGTTAAATAGAGTGGGTGCCAGGATCTGAGAATGGGGAAATGGGAAATCATTTTCAGTGTGTATAAAGTTCTTGTTCTGTAAAATGAATAAGTTCTTACCTACAGTAAGAACACAACATTGTGCGCTCAAGAATACATCTTGTACTAGTTGTACTTATGAACACAACGTATACACATGAACACACACACACATGCACACAAAGAACAGAAATAAAGTTTTGAAAGTGATAAATGTTAGTAACTTGGTTATGGTGATGGTGTCACAGGTGTATGTCCAATCTCATCAAGATGTATATATTAAATACAAAGTTTGAGTATCAATTATATCTCAATAAAGCTATAAGAAGAATTTATCACTAGCTTTGTAACTAATCAGAGAATGCTACCAGAATTTGAGCAGAAGTAGCTAATTCTACTCCCTATCAAATTTGGTTTCTGGTTTTGTTTTTGTTGGGGTACTCAAGTTTGAACTCAGGGTCTTGCACTTGCTAGGCAGGTGCTCTACCACTTAACCCAAGTTCCCAGCCTTCCCATCAAGTTCTTTAAAATTCTTTCTCCTCTCTAGTACTGCTTTAAAAGTTAATATCTATCAAAAATTAGATTTGCATTTCTCTTTGATATTCATGTACACTAAACTCAATACACTCTTTTTTCCAAGTGTAGACTAACATTCTTGCATGTGTGTTTGTGTGTGTGTGTGTGTGTGTGTGTGTGTGTGTGTGTCTACTAAAAAAAGGAGCAGGAGTAAGTGTATCCCAGTCATCCCAGTATCTATGTTCCTAAAATAATGTTTACATTAGTGTGGATTGTATAAAATGTATTGTATGTAGAAACAATTTCTACTTAGAATAATTCTAGAACTTGCTTAAAGTGAAGATTTGCTTAAAAGGTTTTTATCATAAATTTATCATAAGATTTTTGTCTTCTTTTAAGTGAATGAGCATTGGCTCTTCCACGATGATTGTACAGTAGAAAGATTCTGTGACTCCCCTGATGGTGTCATGATCTGTGGCAGTCATGATGGACGAGAGGTGTATGCAGTGACCCATGACTTGACTCCCACTGATGGCTGGATTATGCAATTCAAGGTGAAAATGTCATGATCTCCATTCCATAAGTAGCCATGTTAGGAACATAACCAGTTGAAAACATCATAAAGGCAAAGATCACCTAATGTTTCATTGACTTAATACATACTTTGAAAAATAAAACTTAATATTAAGGTAACATACAACTCATCTGTATAGTGCTTAGTGATGTTTTATTTCTGAACTATTTCAAGATGAAACTTTCATAAATATATTTCTGCTCAGAATAATTATTGATAGAGTAAATATCATAATAAAAATGTAAGATACTGATTCTAACTCCCTGAGTTAAATCACTATATAACATAGGCAAATTGCTTCTTTAAAGAGGATATTAAAAACTGAGCTAGGATTACTCTTATAATCCTAGCTTCTTGGAAGTCAGAGATCAGGAGAATTGCAGTTCAAGGCCAGCCTAGGCAAAAAAAAGTTTACAAGACCCCAGCTCGACCAATAAAAGCTAGGTGGTATAGTGCATGCCTGTCATCCAAGCTTCATAGGAAGTATAAACAGGAGGATCACAGTCCAGGCTAGTCCAAGCATAAGGTGAGACCCTTTACAAAAAATAACTAAAGCAAAAAGGGCTGGCAGCATGGCTTAAGTGGTAGAGCCCCTCCCTAGCAAGCACAAGGCCTTAAGTTCAACATGAAATTGTAGAAAATAAAAGTGTGATTAGAGTTCATGCTAACACCAACTTTGGCAAAGATTTATTCTGATGTGTTCTGTCTACCGAAATCCCACTGTATCAGCCAGAAATGTTGCATTATAGCTATCTGCATCAAGAAGAGCAAAGATTGCTGTACTTTGTTGAAAGTGCCTTCTATTACCTCCTCATTGCATCTTAATTGTAGGTGAAAGTGATTTATTGAGAGTCATAAATTGTATGACAAAATAATAAAATTGGTAAAGCTGTTAGCAATCCTTCTTGGTAAAGTATTCTGCCAAATAGAAGTGCCAGACAATTAACAAAACAATTTGTAAGAGCGGGCCCAGGCCTTCCAAGGCAATCAGCCAGAATGGCAGAAGCATACGTTTCAGCTTCTCTCCAAACCCCCTACACGATATATTTGGCACTTTCTATAATTTTTTGCCTTGGGCAACCATGGTGACCTCTCCTGTCCATCAGCAGAACAAGTAATGTACCTAAACATACAGGATGGTATGTATCAAGTAGTATCTGAGTATGTATCTGAGACTTTCTTGCTGCCAAGTCCTCAGGCAGAAATATGTAATATGGTATTAATACCTTGATGGTCTTGATTTTCTGTTTACTAGATCTCTGTTGGATGCAAAGTGTCTGAAAAAATTGCCCAGAATCAAATTCATGTGCAGTATTCTACTGACTTTGGTGTAAGCTGGAATTATCTGGTCCCTCAGTGCTTACCTGCTGACCCAAAGTGCTCTGGAAGTGTTTCTCAGCCATCTGTATTCTTTCCAACTAATGGCTGGAAAAGGATCACCTACCCACTTCCTGAAAGCTTTGTGGGAAAGTAAGTAGAAAATTAAAATAAAGCCTGATCCAAACCCCAGGGGACACTATAGTCAAGTCTGAAATGATGAGTAGTTGTGGGTAAAGTGGTCTTTTCCCACCTAACTCTAAGGGTTCTCTAATTGGTGACTTCCATGAGCTGACTTTGGGAGACCTCAAGTTGTAATCCTCAGATTTGAGAAAATGGTCCTTGGCAGGCCCTTCCATTTTCTAAACCTCGTCATCATCAAATAGCAACAGAAATAAGGTGTGTGCTACCTTGCCGACCTTGTAGACCATAGTCTACCATGAACATATGCTTTCCAAATCCATGACAGAGCAAGGAGCAAATACTATTTGTACAAATCCTAACTCTCCATGCTGTTTGTACAAGATGGCTTATAGTTTTCATTTTTCTCTTATCACAAAACATTATGTTCTACACCTGCAGTGAAAGTAATTATCCTGGGGCAGTGGTGAGCCAAGGTGATTAAAAAATGTTCTGGAAAGTCTGTAGATAAGTTAATTTAACATAATTCCAAAGGATTTCCCTTCTACTGTAAAAATAAGAAAAGGGATGCATTAAACAAAATGACAGGCACACTTCTACTGAATTAATCATATAGTCTGGCTAAATGGAAAACCTTCTGTGAGACAGATTATGACTAAAACATACAGATCCTTTGAATAAGGTGTATAAATGCAGCTTTTCCAGTGTCCTGTAAACATCACTTACTATATGACCACTCACCGTTTTCTGGAATGGATCTAAATGGCTTATTCAGTTTACATCCTGGGAAACTAAATCATGACGCTTTCAACTACAGATAACAAAAACTCAATCCAAATTGGCTCAATTAAAAATGAAATTTGCTGCATCTAAAACGAAAGAATCCAAAAATGAAGCAACTGTAGGATTGGTTGATTTCTAAGTTCTACAATATCTTCAAGGACACGATTCTTTGTCATTCTGTTATTCTTTGTTCCTCGGTCCACAGCATCAGTATCATAGTCAGCATTCAGGTTGGTTCTGCTATTGAACATAAGATGGCAGCCAGAAAACTGGAGCAGAATGATTCCTACACTATGTCCAGAGGGAGTGAAAGAGAGCCAGAACAAACACCTCCTTGCATCCCATTGGTACAAATTAGCCCCTTCCCAAGCCACTCAGTGATTAGGGAAGTTACATTATGATGACGAGCTCATATGAATCATCTGTCCTGAATTGGATGCTGGGCAAACCACCACACCACCATCATAGACTCACTTCCCCCTTCATTTCTGTCTTTCCATAGAGGTATAATTTGCATCCAGTGAAATATAGACATGCTAACTGTTCAGATGAGTGAGTTTTTCTACTGTGTAACCCATGTAACCATCACATAAAATGAGACATATTTATATTGTCCCAGAAAGTTCTTTCATGAACTTTGTACTCTATAAACCACAATTATACAGGTTATTTTAATATAAGGTTAATTAGAGCCTTGTTTTTCCCCAGAAGACAAAGAACAATGATGAATTAGAATTCACAAGGAAATTGTCCTTTAATATAACCATTTTGAAATGATTTTTTAATTAGCACAGTTACTCAGAGAATATTGATTATCTTTGAGGAATTCAGAAGTTGCTTTTCCCAGCTGCCTGAGGGCTGTGTGCACACTGACAGGGCTCTGTCACAGGCTCCCCTCACCTGCTGTACAATTTCAGAAATGTGATTCATGAATCTAAATTGATCCACAACCACTGACCTCCAGTTCATAAGAAACCTGATTTATTAAAGTTACAGATATATATTGTAAAATATTGCTGTTACTTAAAATAGAAATTCTACTGATTTTCATTTTGTTGTGCATGCTTGTATAAAACTTCGATGAAACCAGCTGTACAGTTCCATTACTAACAACCAAAAGATAATAGTGTTCAGAAAACATTTTTATTAACCCATTTCATCTAGCAAGAGTGTTTTAGATGTTTTTACTTTCTTGAGTATTACATACATATGCAGCAAAATGGACACGAATAAAGTTAACTTCTGTTTTTCACTCCTTTGCTTTTGCTTTGTCAATAGCCCGGTCAGGTTTAGGTTCTATCAGAGGTACTCAGATATGCAGTGGGCAATTGACAATTTCTACCTGGGCCCTGGATGCTTGGACAACTGCCGAGGCCATGGAGATTGCCTAAAGGAACAGTGCATCTGCGATCCGGGATACTCTGGGCCAAACTGCTACTTAACGCACTCTCTAAAGGTAATATCCCTCCACAGGAGCACTTACTCACATTTAGGACCATCTCATGTGTGAGACTAACAATCAATAACAAGGTTTTTGGAAATAAATCCTTTGGATGCAAACTTGAAAATGTGGGCAAGGCATAGTGGTTCATGCCTATAATCTTAGCTACTCAGGAAGCAGAGATCAGGAGGATCATGCTTTAAGGCCAGCCCAGGTAAAAAGTTAGCAAGACCCATCTCAATCAATAAGCTAGGCATTGTGGCATGTGCCTGTGATCCCAGCTACATGGGAATCTCTGGGCAAAAACACAAAACCCAACCCAGAAAAATAATTGGAGCAAAAAAGGATTAGGGATGTAGCTCACATAGTAAGCACAAGGCCCTGAACTCAACCCCTAGTACCATTGATAAAAAAGGAAACTTAGAAATGTATTCTTAGGTCTCTTAGATACAGGAATCTTAAGATCAGGTTCTCATATAATTTTATTCATAAAATAATCTAGGCTGTATAGATTAAAGAATATAAACACTCTAGTTTTCCTTTTTTTAAGAAGATTTTTCATGTAAAGTCAGTATTAAGCCTTTTTTAACCTCACTTTTTCAATTGATGCCCTATTTGAAGAAGAATGGTGTTGCTTTTGTTGTTATTATGAAATAAAAAAAAATATGATATATTACCATGAAAGATCACATTTTCAAATAAACTTAAACACTATCTGAATTTTTGTTCAGAAAATTCTTGACTAGTTGACTGCTAAAAAAATGGTAGTATATTGAGATTAAAGAGGTTGTTTTTGGAAGCTTTAGCTGTTACATCACTATTTAATTTGTGATTAAATGTAGTTATTCAACACAGTTGCTGTATACACATTTTATTTCTATGACTAAGTTGTACATTCATCATTGTAACAAAAAAATGGCTCAGTCCAAAAAGCATAAGTGATTGAAATCCAATAACTGAAAGGCAAACCATGTAAACAAAACCTGTTCTGTCATTTTTGTTTCTTCCAATATTTCAACAACTTTGGAATTGAAAGATATGAAAAATAAAATTGAAACAATGCTCACTTATGTCTGAGGATGTTAATTCATTTTTAACAAATGAGTTACTCCACAGATATATAGCTTTATAAGCCATGAGTAATAAGTAACCTTAAAAAATCTAATATTCTTCATGAACATTCAAGTTTCATTAGTATTCCTCAGTTGGATAAGAAATTACACAAATCTACATTGTGAATTCTTAGTCAGTCCTTCTAATGAGAGAATGCATGGTTAACCACGCATTCCTTCTAACTCATGGTCTTACATATAAACCTTCATTTATAAAAATTGTGTCCATTTTCTCATCATTAATAAAGTAAAGTAAGACTGACATGTGATTCCATGTGCTTAATTATAGAGTTGATTGTGTTCTAAGTTTGTGAAAAAAGAAGGTCTATTTAAATCACTTTAGCCACACAGTAAGATAACAACGAGACAGCTCTCCCCAAAACTGGAAAAATACAGTGTTTCTGTAGTGCATAGTTACTGCAATTGCAACTATAACAGTTATCTTTGTATATTTTCAGCTTTTAAAAAATAATGAAAAACAGTATTATGAACAAGATGAATTTACTATGAACAGGATGGATAAAAAGAGTAAGATCTTGACAATGATAGAGGGAATAAGCTAGTTTCATGTAACATGTACCCAGGAACCTCAAATACTTTTATCCACTGTCTTTGGAAAATAAGACTATTCCTGATTGTTGATCGTTTTAGTTAAAAGTGTAAAATGGAGACCCAAGGAAAGCATTTTATTCTAGATTTTGAGTGTTTCTCACCATCACCCTGCAATTTTACTATTGATAAACACGTGAAAAGTATTTTCACTCACCTTTTAATTCTAAGGTGTGTTTTCTTTTCACCTTAAACAGTAAGCTTTGGTTTCACATTTTCCTTCCTAACCATAGAGAACATTCTAGGTATACTCTGTGCTGGAAGCTGAAGGGTGCTGACTAGCTAAGCAGTCTCCAAAGTAGGGCACACACCAGGAAATTCATTGAGAAATATTGGGGGGAAATGCCAAAATTTGCTCAATATTTATCTTATTATTTCTAAGTGTTTATTCATGTTTCATAATTTAATAAATAAGGGCTAGGGAAGTAGTTCAGTGGTAGAGAAATTGTTTAGCATGCATAAAGTCATCAGTTCAATATCCAGCACTGCCAAAAAATTTATGTATATGTATGTGTTTGTATGTGTGTGTGTATGTGTGTGTGTGTGTTACAATGGCACTTTTTATAATGTACATACATATTTAGGAGTTTGTACTTAAGTAACTTTTTGCAAATAAAAGTGTTAACTATAGTTGACTTTACAGTTGTTTAATTTTTAAGATTTTTTTCTCAACTTTAAATTCTAATAATTAAGCATTATTTAAGCAGTTTAAATGATCTTCAATATATAGGAAAAGAAAAATGTGGAGCTATCCTGTCAACTTTCTAAAATATCTTTGGAAAAGAGTTAAAGTCAGTTGTATTTTTTAAAGGTTCAAGTAACTTTGTATTGATAAAAAGTTCACAGTTATTATCTAGGTTATTTTTAACCACACCCCACTTGTCTTTAATTTTTTCAGACTTTCCTGAAGGAACGCTTTGACAGTGAAGAAATTAAGCCTGACTTGTGGATGTCCTTAGAAGGCGGAAGTACTTGTACTGAGTGTGGAATTCTTGCAGAGGACACAGCTCTCTATTTTGGGGGATCCACTGTGAGACAAGCTATTACTCAAGACTTGGATCTCAGAGGTGCAAAGTGAGTCAATTTTTCTTATTGCAACCTTGCAAAATAGCCCCAAAGCAAGGAACATGTGTGGAAAAATCGTTATGCAGGACTTGAGTTATAATTCATCAGTCTGATAGAGAGTATGTACTTGCTTTTAGATTCCTGCAATACTGGGGACGCATCGGAAGTGAGAATAACATGACCTCTTGCCATCGGCCCATCTGCCGGAAGGAAGGCGTGCTGCTGGACTACTCTACTGATGGAGGCATGTTTCATGGGTGAAAGCCACTCCTTGAAGCAGATTCCCACTTCCATCCAACACCCTTAGAAACATCTTTGCAAAGTTTTGCTGACAGTGCAAATTGTGAACATTACAAAAAATTATATTGTTTTCATTACATGTTCTATAGATGTGACTTCTGTGTCAAAGGAGAAGTCACTTTAAAAAATTAACTCCAGACTTTATGGATAAAGAATACCCTCTATGTTTAATCAAAGCTTGATTATGAATGATACAATTAGGAAGTAAATTTTATATGAGTTTCCAAGTAAAAGATCATTTAAAAAACATTTTAAAGCATTTTAAAGGATTTGTGACAACAAGCATGTAGTAAATGCTGTAGTCTATAAGAAAATTTCATAAATTGAGAAAGAAAATATTCTGAACTCATGAGTCTGTCATAGAATATTTTAATAAAATTCTGTTTGATAATTTTGAAGTAGCTAAAACCAGACCAATAATAGCATGAGGTATTTAGAAAATATACTTTACCTGATAGAGTTCATTCTTAATAACTAGTTGATAGGTAGAGGAACCTAAAATATTTTAGCTCATTCAAAAAGTATTTTAAAAAGTGTTTTCTTAAGTAACTTAAACATTTCACCTACACCCTTAATCAAGCAATAAGAGATAAACTTCATATCAATCCAACTAATTACAAATTGCATGTAATTATAGTAGCTGTGTTTTAACACTGGAAGTTACTGTCTACATGGATGTATCTTATTATTTATGAGATATAATGCTCACAAGAATCTAGAACTAAATTTTAAAAACAGAAAAATGCATTATTGTTACTTCCATTTATTTATTTTGGCCACTTATTTCTGAATATCCTTGTCCCAAAATCATTAGCCTCATATTAAAACAATGTTTATAATAAAGTGGTAAATATTTACATTAAAGTCAGCATCAATTTTCATTTCCTTTTTAAAGATTACTTTGGGAAACTTATAGTATCTGTAGTTTATAGTATCTGTGGTTATCTGTGGGGTTTTTGTCCCCAGATATGTTACTTTGTTGATAAATCTGTTTTTAATAGGAATCACTTGGACTTTGCTCCATGAGATGGATTTCCAGAAATATATTTCTGTTAGACATGACTATATACTTCTCCCAGAGGATGCCCTCACCAACACAACTCGACTTCGTTGGTGGCAGCCATTTGTGATCAGCAATGGGATTGTGGTCTCTGGGGTGGAGCGGGCTCAGTGGGCACTGGATAACATTCTGATCGGTGGAGCAGAAATCAATCCCAGTCAGCTGGTGGACACTTTTGATGATGGTAAGAAACCTGACAATCACTTAGAAGAGTGCCTAGCATATATTGCTTAATAAATGTTTGCAGTTGTGCCTCATGGGTTTTAAATCTTCAAAGTAGATAATTTGTTGAAATGTCAAGTTAGAATTTTAAAAATCCTAGTAAAGACAAGATGCCTTGTTTTAAATGTAACTTGGAATTACAATACCCAAACATAATTGTATTTCTTTTGTATCTCTGTGTCATAGAGATACATATTGCAACAGCTTAAGAACTATACCAAGAAGAACTTTGTATTTGTGCAAGTTACCCAGATAAGCAATTATATTTTAAGAATGAGATACTCATTATACTAGCATATAGTAAATTTTTAAAGTTTGTGTTCTCAACTTAGACATAAATATTAAAGCTATTAAAATAGATATCAATCTTCAAGAGTATGTCAAAAGATAAAACATAGCACGTAAGTAATTTAACAATAAATCAATCAAGTCAACAAAATAATTTGCCATAGAATTATATACTACATCCTAGCAATGTGAAATCAGTACTTGTTCATGAAGCTGGAATGAAGGGGCAGAAGGAAACCTACAGGGAGAGCTGTGTGTGGATGTACTCAGATTTACAGTTTGATGAGAGTCATTGATGTGTGTGTATCTTCTGGTTGTATTATAGGAATATATTAATTCAGCAGGACTATGCCTTCTTGCTAATATTTTAATAGTATAGATATGAAAAGGAGCTATGAAACTGTGCTTAGTTTTCTCTGTTGTTTTATGTCTCATTTTTAATTGTGCATTAAGGGAATGCAATTTTTTTTATTGTTGTGCTGGAGGTACATTGTGGCATTTACAAAAGTTCTTAGAATATATCAAATATATCATACTTGAATTCACCAATCTCCTTTATCTACCTCCCTCTACTCCTGGAACAGTTTCAACCGGTCTCATTTTTTCATTTACATACATGTGTATACAGTAGTTGTACTACATTCACCCTCCCACTTCCTTTTCCCACCTCCACCCCCTTCCACTAATACCAGCCCTTCCTCATGACAGGACCTGTTCTACCCCACTGTTCTCCAATTTTGTAAAAGAAAACCATGACATTTTTGTTTGTTTAAGATTGATATACATGGAGTTTCCTTGTGACGTTTATAACATTACAACTCAAATTGGTCCATCTCCTCTATTTTTCTTCTTTCTACTTTTGGTGATTTCAACAGGTTTAAAAATTCTATATCCATTCTTGTATAGGAAGTACATCAATTATATTCACCTTCTTCCTTCTTTTACCCTCCCTCTCTCATAGGTGACCTCCCCTTCGCGTGACCTGTTTTTCATAATATTGCTGTGTTTGTATTAGGTCTATAAGGATTGTATTTTAATTGCAACTCTGCCAATACTTATGTCTAGAGAGAGACCTATTGTCATTTCTGTCTTCAGTTAAATTTTTGTCCCCAAGGAAGGCAGGATTACAATTTTAAGATTGAATTAGTGTAATGTATTCTTGGTTATCAAAATATTCTTGTGGATTTGGGATTTTTAAGTTGGTGAGTATTCACAGTATATGGTAGAGCATGACACAGACATATGATCTCAGTTACCAACAATGGGTCACAATGTGTAATGCAGAACCTAGGACATTCCAACTGAACCGCTTGTGGCTACGGATGGCTCTGTTCTTTGCTTCTTGTGTGTTTGCTTCCTGTAATGTGCATATTAACTTAAAAAATAAAGGTTATTTTAAAAACCTGAAAAAAGAAGGAAAATTAGATGTCATATTGCTTCTAATTTACCTCAACAGAAGGCACTTCCCATGAAGAAAACTGGAGCTTTTACCCTAATGCAGTAAGGACAGCAGGATTCTGTGGCAATCCGTCCTTCCACCTCTACTGGCCAAATAAAAAGAAGGACAAGACTCACAATGCTCTCTCCTCCCGAGAACTCATTATACAACCAGGATACATGATACAATTTAAAGTAAGGGAAAGTGACTGTTCAAAACAGAACATGATGTTATATTTGCAGTGTGGGGAATGTTTATTGTGGCAACTACAAGGAAGTGATTGATTTCATTCATTAAAAGAGGTTGTACCTTATGAATGAAAGAGGTAATCTTTTGCAGAGGCCTTTGTTCAAGTATGATTATATGAACATAGAAAAAAGTCTCTGAATATGTTGGGACATAACAATAAATACAATTGTATTTCATTTCATATTTATAATATTTATTTTGGCTTCCAAACCTTATAAAAAGCTCAAATAAGTACCTCTGCCTACTTCTAACTCTCTCTGTTGTGTTATAGGTCTCTCTCTTTTCTTCTCTCTCTCTCCCTCCATCTCTGTCCCTCCCTCTTTACCTCCCTCTCTCCCTCTTTTCCTCTTTCCTTCCCTCTCCCCCTTTCTCAGACTGTGTCTGCTATGCATTCATTTAGCCATTTGTTTCTTCATCTATCCTTTTTCAGTATACCTTTCATTTTTCTTTGTCTCTGATTTCACAAACCTGTGCATTAGCCTAGTTGTAAATTCCCAAAGCCTCAAAGAACTAGAGGGGATTCTTAAATCTTTTTAACTTGCATGTTATTTGTACAGAAGGATAAAAGGCAAAGCATAAGAGGTACTCAGAGAGAAAGATAAG